GCATTAACAGCACTTGACATCTCTGTATTATATTTGATTAGCGCCTTTTTTTTATCCTTGCATTTGATATAGCGCTTTTCACGTCTGTATATTTGTGTGTCCCACAAACAGTCGTGGATTGAAAACGACCCATTTATTATTGTTTTTTTCAAGTCGGGAGGTTGTCCCAAGGCAATGGACAATCAGGATTTGGACCGACAATGCAATAAACCTTTTCCATAGCACCCCAAGTGGGGATGGGAGCCGAAGGAGTTGGGGAGGGGAAAGATAACTGCCTCCCACTCCTCATCAACCCCCGGACGGTACTCCCCTCCCCGTTCTTCATCACAGTCAGAGGTATGTCCCGAGACAGGCTTTCTCTGAATGACAAATCTGACAGCAATTGCTAGTTTAGAAGCATTTTAACCTTGAAGTATCAACGCTGTGGTCAAGAAAATGCAATAAATGAAGCGTCGGGGGTGAGGGGGTAAACAAAGTGCAATTGAGATTCGAAGCATTTCACATGTCAGAGAAGGGAGAGATACAGTCTGCCATAAAGACAGCCTATGCCTCGTGCTATACCAAGGTGTTTGTCAAAAGATTCCCTTTTTCCTTCAGTACCATCCCCCACCCTTTGGATGAGATGTTAAAGCAAGTTCTCATCTGCCTGTTCAGGCGGATGTTGGAAGATCCCACGGCACCATTCGAAAAGAGAAGAGTTTTTCCCAGTGTCCTGGCTAACAATCCCTCCAAAATAAAAAAAATGTTGGTCATTCACTCCATGGCTATTTGTGGGGCATTGCTGTGCACAATTGTCCACCTCATTTCGCCCACAAAATACAGTCAATTTACTTTACAGTATATCCTGTGAAGCGCTTTGAAACAATGTGATAAGACGCTTTATAATACTACTACTAACTAATAATAATAATCCTTGCGTTTGATATAGCACCTGATCAGGTCTTCCGAGACTTCTCAAAGCGCTTCACAGAATATACTGTAAAGTGAAGTGACTGTGTTTTTTTGTGGGCAAAACTCAAATGCAAGGATTATTATTATTATCGCCCCCAGAAACTCTCCTCCCCCCACACCCCCGGAACCTGCCGCTCTCCTGCTGCTCATCATTCCGCTCTTCACCAACTTACTTCGAAACACCTTCTTTTCCTGAATCTCTCTCCCCTTCTCTT